CGTTAGCTTTGGCATCCATGAGATGCGGATGGTAATCAAGCTTAATTAATAAAAATTTAATATATTAGATTTTATTTAACATTAAATTGTGTCAATTTATACTAACCAATATATTGCATTATCAATATTTTGAAATATAGACTGAGTCTAGAGGTGGTGTGCAACCTCCCCATCAGGAGAAATTCAAGGAGACGCACACCTTCAGAAAAAAGGCGGGAAAAGATCAAGAGCCATCGTGGATCAATGAAAAAGCAAAGTATCGATATGTAAGTATATATAACATATAAATTAGCATAAAATGTATAGTTATAAGTGTGAAAAAAAATTATGTAATTAACCTAAATTATTTAGCAAAGTCTACTTTTTTTTATAGATTCTTTTCAAACTACTTTTGACAACATTATAACTATTACTATTAGTTTTTCAGGATACTTATGTTGCGGAGTGCACAGATAGTCATAGCTCTGATGCTAATTCATGGCCACGCATGGATAACGAGGCATGGGTTAAGGCTGTTGGAGGTTGCTCATCTAATTTCATGCCAGGGATTGGCTCCCAAGTAAATCCAGAGATGGTTGGTTTTACTTACAGGAAGAGACAACCCCGAGAAAACTTAATAGCAGCACTGATGGCGTCTGACTATGAGGAGACATAGGCAAAAGATCATGAGGAGTTAGAAAGACAACGCCAACAAATTGCTTTGATGCAACAGCAGCTGGCCAATATGACAGAAGCTCAGAATAATATGAGCCAGACAATCGCACAGTTTGTTGCAGCAGCTCTAGCAGCTCATGGCATCTCCCCTCATGCAGGTCATCATCCAGTTGCCCCACCACAGTCGTCACATGGTCTTGGCTCAGGTCTTCGCATGAATTCAGCTTTCACCTACTCCACTGATTCTACACAAACGTCTCCTATGGTCCCTGAATATCAACAGCAGCGGCAATTTCCGCCTCAAGATGATGATGCATACCATCCTACTTTTGATCCAAACTATCAGGGTCCTTAGTTTTTTTACTTTTCTGCTACACACATTATCTCCATACTTTGCATGGTTGGCTTTATTTTTATTAGTACTTTAAACTGTTAGCTTTAGCTTTTATTACGATATATTTTCTTATTTTGCTTGTGTAATATCCCAAATTTTCGGGAATATTTAAGTGTAAGTTAGGGATTGATTGTGAGAAAAGATTGTTTTGGGGCCTAATGTGAATATTTTGAAAGTTGAGGGACTTAAAGAGGGAAATATTTTGGATAAGGATGGCTTATTTCTTTTCTCCTTTTTCCTCTTTCTTCTCAGCCCGATTCTACTCTTCTTCTTCTTTCTTCCCGCTACAGCCACTTGAAAGGAAAAAAAAGGGAAACCCAGCCATGCCTTTAAGAAACCGGTGAGATAAGCTTGGTTTTGGCCTTCTTTTCTTGTTCAAGAGAAAGATTGGAGCCTTGAAATCCTTCTTCCCCTGCTGGAAAATCCAGATCTGCTCTGTTCTTCCTTCCTCACCGTCGGCTGCTCCTGCTTTGTGGGGGCGAATTTCTCTGATTTTGGGTAAGAAATAGCCATGAATCTCCCTTCTCTTGCTTGAATTGGCTTGGGTTAACTTTGATTGCTCTTATTTCCTTCAATTTTGGGTAGACCCGTGAGCTTCCCTACAGCTTGCCGCCGGCCTCTTCTCCCCCTACAGCTCCGGTTTCTACAGCTGGAGAATTATGGTATGTGACAGCCTTTTAAGGCTTAAATTGTCCATTTAGTTTGCTGCCTTGTATGTTTGAATTGTGTTGGAAAAATGGGGAAATTCTGGTAGCAATTAAGAGGGATTTAAGTGTGTTTTGTTGCTTAATTCAAGTGAGATTTATGTGATTGAGTGTTAATTGCTTGTTGTGATTTTTGGAGAGAAAATCCCGTGAGATTAGCTAGTGTTTTGGCCAATTTGTGGAAGTCGGGGGTACTGTTCACGTCGGGGTACTGTTCACGGGTACTGTTCACGGGTACTGTTCACCAACACTGTTTACACCCCGAGGGCCAACAATTAACGGGGATTTAAGTGATTAGTTTGTGATATAAAAACGAATTTGGAGATGTCCGATCATGTGGAAAGTGATAGAAATAGCATCGGGATTAGGAGTGATCTTAATGATGATTTCAGTGTGAATTTGTGATAGTGGTATTAATTCTTGAAATATCTTGATTAGGTTCTTGATCGTCCTGTCAGTTTAGTACGTGAATTGAGTGCTCGGTTTTATGCGAGTGAGGTAAGTAAATTATGGTAACGCCCTTTGATTTTAAAAGCATGTTTTGATTTGTTTTTGAAGTGGTGGCGGGACTAAACCCGTTTTACACAAGCATGACTGATTTGAAGTGAAATGTTTATGTTTTTCATTAAATTGAGCATGCTTACTTGAAAGCGATTGTGAACTGTCCTGATGATCTGAAAGTGATTGTGAATTGTGATTTTCCTGTTAACTTCTACTTGTTTTGTCTCCGATGTGGTCATGTTTCTGTAATCCTGCTAGTGGGAGTTAAATGCTAGCACATGTCGACATGTTAGTGATAGAGCCGGTTCGTTCAACCCTGCTTGTGGGGGTTATACACCAGCAAATCGTGTGCCCGCCAGTGGGAGGTTTATAAACGCTGGCCGTGACCTATAGAGGAGACGTCTATTTCGTTCCCGTACTGTATCCGTTTTGCGTGATTGCACATGTGGCATGCTATAATTTTAAATAAGGGGAACTCCATATTTACTTACTGAGTTTATCTCATAGTTTTCCTTGTCCACCATTTCAGGAAATGAAACCGAGGACGGGGAAACCACGGGAAGTGATGAGTTAGAAGGCTAGCCATTTTGTAAAGTGAATATAGATTTGAGATATAGATCATGATCTTGTATTTGGAGATTTTATGATATTAGAGAAATTATAAAGATTTGATCTTCAGATTTTGGTGGTATCAGAGTGTGATATGATAAGTTTCGAGCCTTGTGCACTTGTGGGACCCGTCTCACGAGTGTACGGCGTCTGTCGCGCTTCGAATTTGGGTTTTGGGACGTGACAGCTTGGCCTCTAGTGATCATACTTCAAAAGGTATGAAGTTTTGGACTACTTTGGAGGTTAATTATTATTAACTTAATATCGTGGGTATTTAAAACAATGGTGTGTGATTGCCATATATACTTTGTAGTTGTAGTTGTGGTTGAAAAGGTTT